TTTTTTGGCAAAATTGCAGGCGAATAGACAAATTTAGAGGGCTTAACCGGCTTGTTATTTGAACTATCCATTGTAATGACCGTCTGCTAACTCCAAGTTACGCCGATAAGTTCCGAGTCGAAACTCTTGGATTTGCCTGAATTGACGATGCATCAGCCGCGATTGTTTCATACAGATCTCGATGGTCCGGTTTTCTTGCGATACTTCTAGATTCGGCAAACATGTTCACCAACCTCATAATGATTCATCTACTCGGGGATTGTCGCCAAAATCACGCGTTTATGTACATATGTTCATAAACAAAAATTCACGAAAAAACAGGCATACAATGTATGACCATATGTATGTTTGTATGTATGTATGTACATACCTATAGGTACGTTAGCTATGTATACAAGTATAACGTTTATATGAATTAAAATAAAAAAATCACATACTTAATAGCCGCAACAGCTCAATTACCTTTTCCCTCGACGTTTATGATTTTCCAGCCAAAACATAATTACAATCTATATACATACATATACGTACATATGTATGTATATGGCTGCTGTTGTATACCACGCTTTTGTATTTACTTTTGTTCGAAAACTTTTCATCCGCTTAAACATACTTAAAAAGGCATAAATTAGTATTAAATTACATGCATGCTACAAGAATAACAACAACGACAACAACAATTACAATAATACCAGTGGCAGACGTCATAAAAATGCAAGTGAGAAAATGTTGACAAAAGCAAAAGCCGCAAGTGGTGAATGGAGCAAAATAGCAACAAAAACCAAATACTGAAAAACTTGGAATTGTGAAGAAGTTGTGCCCCACCCTCCTCCGATACTAAGCCGCTCTTGGCGCTTTTCGCGTGGAATCACAGGCATACGGCACAGCATATTGCTGAGTTTAAAAGTCAAAACAAAAGTGACAGCAGTGGACAAAAAGAAAAAAAATGCACACACACACACACACAACAGCGTAACCACATGTAGTGACAACAACAACAATAACACCAAGCAATAAGCAAGCGAGAAATTCCAACAAACCATTGTGGCTTTTGTCATATTTATTTCGTTAAGCTGGAAGTGTGAAACTTTTCGATTATTGTCGTCAAATGGTATTGATCGGCAATGCAGTTATACGCGCATGACCGAGCGAGATAGGTATATAGGGACAGCGCTGATAGTTAAAGTGTTGCAGCGGAAGGCGTCGGAGGTGGTTGGGTAAATGGGTTGCGTGGACTGTCTGCCACGTTCACTGGACGTCAGCATTGACCGTGGCCTTCTTCGTCACGCTAATCCTCAATGTGCGTTGGGTGTATGTATTCAATAATGCAATTGTAAAAACGTCGGACAATAACCGCCCGCAGGCAGTGATAATTTCTTTAAAGCGTACACATATTTTCAAAAACGAAAACTATTGCGTTAAAAAATAGCACACAAATAAAAACTTCAGTATAATAAAAAAATTGTAACGTTGATAACTTCACTAGCAATTGAACAATTAAAGCTTAAAGAGCTACAAACTACTTTTAAGGTCAAGGTTAAAAATGTTTGCAGACGATTTGCATAGGGAAGAGGCCGTAACCAGTTTAAGCAGCTGCTGTTATATACATACATACATATGTGCATATATATATTTATAAAATTACTTTCCAAAGCGTTTCTTTACAAAAAAAATTATAATTAATTTTTCTAAAGCGTCACTTAAGAAAACTGAAATACTGGATTTCCTAGAATTTTTAGCACTTAACATTTCCTCCTCTTCAATTTTTTTTAACTTCTCAACACTTTAACTCCACTTAAGCTTTCTACTCTGCAACAATCATATAAAGGTAAAATATGCGCTTAAAATTATATTAACGTGTTCGTTATATAAAATAATCCAGAGCTATAAAAAATTAACTCTATTACTGCCTGGATTCCAAATTTAAATGTAGCATAACTTTGTTGCTGTTTTATTTTACAGCCGCACACATATGTGTTATAAAATCACATACACATAATTACAAAGCAGTTATCGTAAATCCAAAATTTTATTAACTTATAAATTACAACTAATAGGAGTACAAATACCTGTGCTCTTGCGAGAGTGAAAACAAAACGAAAAGCCGACAATTTTAGCCATAAGTGCGCTAGCTTATCATTTATGCTAACAAAATTCGGTTATGCCTTTTAATAACCTATAAAATAACACATTTCCACATTTTCACACAGTAATTTTTTCCCCTCCGCTCATTGGGTGCGTCAATGGTGTCTGCCCATTGCGTTCGCATAAAAATTGATCCTTCACCTTTTGATTGCACGGCATACGTTTGGGGATGTCTATGCACATATGTATGTGTGTACTGTGTTTGCTCACTGACCTTTTTACACTTGTCGTCGAGGAAAATGTTTGATAGCCGTAGAATATTTGTAATACTATGAAATAAGCACACAATATCCTATCCAGTGTGTGTGTGGTGTCTTTTTATACCTTGAACCCAGAAGGAAATGTCGAAGACCTTCTAAAATATATATACAAATGTTCCGCGTGACGTGTCGGTTTAGAAATGTTCGTCTGTATATATGCGAGCTAGTTCCTCAGTTTTATCGATTTTATCAGAGGTCTTGATCTGAAATTCTGCACACATCCTTTTCTTTCCAAGAAGCTGAACGTTCAAAATCTACAATATCCAAACAAATTATTCAGATTGGTTCACTATAGTATATAGCTGCCATGCAAACTGAACGATCAAAATCAAGTTCTTGTGTGGAAAAGTTTTTTAGTTGATAAGATTTTTTTTTTGAAATTTGGCATATCTTTTTTTCAGGTTACCGTTACAATCTCTGAATGCTATACTACTATATCATATAGCTGCCATACAAACAGAACGATCAAAACCAAGTTCTTGTAGATATTTTTATGTGTGAAGGGTATTATAGCTTCGGTGCAACCGAAGATACTTTTTGTCTTGTTTTTGTTTTTTTAATTTTCATAAATATTTTTTCACTACACGTTTTTCTGTCACTATATTTTAATATCTACATATGTATGTAGGTACTTATGCATTTAAGTATGCGCAGGTTGGCATTACTTGCGTGTATAGCTAGTTGCTCCCTAGTTAAGCAGGTGAGTGCTATTGTCTCACATTTTTCGTCTTCGATAATTTATTGGCCACATTGTGTCATGCCCTTTCTTTCAACTGGCTTGCAGCCCTAAAATAATTCAGAAACATATATGTATATATACAAAGGTAAATGTATTTAATAATCTTATTATATAATTGTTGTACTCCAAGCAGCTCAGTGTTTTTCTTTTACGTTATGTTGCAATAAAACACACCTTCTTCATGCGCGCAATTGTTTTTTTGTCGCTTTTTCTCGTTTGTTTTCACTTTTCATTGTTATTGACTCTTGATCCTGCCCCACATTCAGTTGAGCGTATTTTATGCGCTTTATAGCGTAACATAAATTATGTCAATTTTTTCTATATTTAGTGCTATTGTTATATTATTGTTATGTATTTTTCCCACATGTGTCTATGTGTTACTTTGATAGCTGCGGATTACTGATACCTTTATAAAGGTTCGTGTAAATAATTTTATTATGCCAACAAGAACCGAAATAAATTTCGTTTTATTTCGTAAAAAATGTCAACTATTTACATATTAACCTGAAAGAAAGCACTTTTAAAATCAGCTGAGAGAGCTTATAGTTAGCGTCAAAAAGCTATAATAAATATTTTTCAACAATAATTTCATTTTTAAATAATTTATACCTTCTTCTTAAATGTCCTTAAACTATCAATTGTAAAAAAAACTATTTTCATGTGCACGTATTCGCTTTTTATTCTCTATTCCTTTACGGTTTTATGAAAAATACCTTGCTGTTAAACACAATTTCGAAACCCACGGACCACCGAAACTGCCTGCAAAAATATGTATATAGCTTTTCTACACATGCAAGCACACACGTTTGCTAACAAAAATGCAGGGTTATTCTCCTTTTCAAAGTAATAATCAGAAATATTGAACTTTTTTACTTCTTCTTTTTTTTTGTGAGTCGAAAAAACTTTACGCCGCCATAAATTCTGTTCGCCCAGCAGCGTGGCAGCAAAAGTAAAATTATTTATCACTGCGGCTTGGTGGCAGTCAACAGCAGCATCATAATTTCTACACAAAAAACAAAAAAACATTACGCAATACCAGGAATTCCTAAAATTCGTAGCAAACAGCGAGCGGCAGCAGACGCCGTATGCTAAAAAAAAACAAAAAACAAATCAACTCCAATTGGAATGGCATATAAAAATCAAAGAATACCAATAATAAAAACAAGCGAATTGCGATCGAAACAAATAAATTCGATTTATACAGTTTTTATGTTCGCTATTTGTTTTCTTTTAAGGTTTCATTTTATTTCAACCTTAACACAAAATTTAACGCATGCAAATCAGCACAAAAGTAAATGCAAAACAAGACGTACAAAAACAAATATATATAGCATTGCTCTCCCTAGCTATTTGTTGTTCTTGCCAACAATGCGCTGTTGGCCAAAAGCGTGACCATTTCGTGTATAATAAAAAAAAGTAGTGACGATAAAAAATGTATGCAAAATGGGCAAATTTTATTTTATAGTCTACTTTGCTGGTGTTGGTGTTGTTGTTGGTGCGGGTGTCGGTGTGGCAGCATTTTATGACACTCATCCAATTGTGGCTGTTTAGTGTACAAACGAGGTCATAAATTTTCAACTTGTAAAAGAAACAAATTCCGTTTTCAATACTACAAAAACAAAAAAAAAACTGTTGAAGGGTTGCTGCCAGCGACCACACAGCGGGTTCAATACATAAACATGCATATGCGTAAAATTAGAGCGAATTGAATTCGTTTATATACAATATATATATTTTTTAAATGTTTAAACTTATAATGTTTATAACAATTATTTAATTAATTAATATTATTAATAATTAATTTTATTTTTGTGTCCTCCTTAACTCATAAAATAATTTTTTGGCATTGCTTGCAGGCGAAAAACCGTTCAAATGCGAACACGAGGGCTGTGATCGCCGTTTCGCCAACTCTTCGGATCGCAAGAAACACTCGCATGTGCACACATCGGACAAACCCTACAATTGTCGCATCAATGGCTGTGATAAATCTTATACTCATCCCTCATCGCTGCGTAAACACATGAAGGTAAGTTTAATAATTTTCTCATACTAACAAATAATTAGAAATTTTCAAATTCAAAAATATAAAAATTTAAAAATGTAAAGAACTACTATTTGTATACGATCGTTAAAAGTTAAAAAACATCAACCATTTTTTCATTGCCGACAATTAGTTAGATTGCATACATAATTTCTGGAGAAGACAATAATTTAAAATTTCTTAAAATATATATACTATTATACAAATTTAATAAACACAAAAATCTCTGTATTATCTTCTACCCCCTCACCTACCAGGTGCATGGCAATATCGATGAGAAGTCTCCCTCACATGGCTATGATAGCGACGGCGATGAGTCCTCCTCGTCCAGCATTGTAACTGGCGGTGCGCAAACACCACCGTCCGCACGCTTAAATGTCGACAATAATAACGGCATCGGTAATAAGTCATCACCGCACTCCATCAAATCGGAACCGAGCAATCACAGTATTGGCGGCATGCATGGCGTCATACATTTGGGTGCCTCGAGCGGTGGCAGTAGCTCTACGAGCAGCTCACATTTACATCATTCACATGCGCATCACAATACCGGCGGCGCTGGCAATGGCAGCGGCGGGGGGGCGAACAACAATAACAATAACAACAATCACTCAACCAAATCGCCAGCGCTACAATTGATGGCATCTACAGCAGCGGCAGCATACTTAGCACCACCACTCGGACCACCCCCCTCATTGACGGCAGCGGCAACACATCATCATCATCATCATCAGCAAGCGGCATCGCCAGGCAGCAGTAATGCGGCAGCCGCTTCAATGCTTGTCACCGGTCATCACAATCATCATCTGCTCTATCATCCGGCGGCGCAACATCATCCGCCTAGCGATTGGTATCATACAGCAACACCGCCGGCAACCGCTGATGCAATGAATCCGTTAAATCATTTCGGTCATCATCATCATCATCACCATCTGATGCATCCGGGTGCTGCGACCGCCTATTGAAATTGGTGAGCTATTCCAGAGAGAGGGTGAGCGTAAGCGCCGAAGAAGTTAAGGGCGAGAAGCACTTGTCTGTGTGTAGGCTGTCGCATCATGAAACTCACGTATGTGCATGTATGTGTTATGTTATGTTGTGCTGTGCGGTATTTGCGACTATTGTTGTAGTTGCAAATCGCAAATAGACACATCCATACACACACGCATACTTACATATGGGCATTGTAATTGTATTAAACAAAACCAATGTCGAGTGTTAATATTAGACACTGCAACCGAAATTTTAACCTCTATATACGAGTATTTACCTGTCGAGCTTTATGTTTTATGATTGAAAATTAGTGTTTTGACTTGAAAGTATTTTCGTGGTTTGTTTTGTGATTCAAGCAGACAGTTTTTTTTTTAACTTTATTATGTTCAGTTAGCGCTTTTATTTAGTTAATCAGTGAAAATTACATAGCAAAGGAATATACATATATACATGTACTGCTGAAAAATTAATAACTGACTCACTTAAGAGGGCATACATCGAATTATCTAAGTTAAATGAAGTGGAAACTTTTACAAAACTTACAAATAAATATATATATCTCTTTAACCAAACTTCAAATCATTTTCTTAACTTTATTATTACCCTCCTACAATTATTTTTCATAAAATTTTTTTCATGCAATTTTTTATTTATTTTTTCTTGAACAAAAATGCGAACCATACTCAAATTTTTAACGCCACTGTAGCATAGTAGTTGGATAAATTCCTCTCAAATACGTAAGAAATAAATTTCTGCCTTAAAATGTACTTTCAACGCCGCTTCAAAAGTAAATAAAAAAATTTAGAAATCATCTGGCAATATTCTACATACATACATACATATATAAAAACAGAAAATTTAATAAATCGGGTAAAACAAAAAATGTGCATACATATACAAAAATAAAAATGAAATAAATGTAATACACGCTAAAGAAAATATATATATGTATATACTAGTACTATAATAAAAATCTATTTAACACAAAACCAAATGGTGCCTGCTGCTTCCAATGACAAAAATAACACAATATTTCTCATTTAAAAACTGAACTAAATATATAGATATTTGAATTTTATATGAACTAAAAATATGCTTTATTCATGCCATAGTTATTTAATTTTATCGCAAGCGCAGCGCTAGCCCTTTCGCTTACCAAACCACATAATACAGTGCAAGTGCTTGCATTTAGCCCATTTACATACAAACAATACCTAACTACATACATATTGCATGTTTAACGCGTGATTCTTCGACTTAGTACTTAGTTTTCGACTCATTACCTCCACAACAACAAAGCGTATAAAATAATAACAAAACAAAAAAAAAAGTTATATTAATGATTAAAACATAAAACATATTAGTATGTAAAATTAATTGACAAATAAGTTCCAAAAATTGTAGTATTGTTGTAAATAATTTTATATGTATGTATGCAGGTGCAAATGTAAAAATAACAAATATATTAACGAAATTAGTTTAAAAGAAATTGAAGAAAATATGAGCGAAGATTGTCACAAAACTGTTACAAATTTAAAATTTAATTACTAAGATGTAAAAACTGCAAAATATTTACTTTTCAGTTTGATTGATTCTTGCATTAAATATTAAAAATTTAAGTTTGATTATTTACAATAGTTCTGTACTCGTATAAGTGTCAAATATAAGAAATATAGTAAATAATATATTGTATTTTGTGTATAAATTAAATTATTTTAAATTGTTTATAGTATTTGCAGTAATTACGCTGTTTAACCACGCATTTCTACTCATACGCGCTCATTTATTTGAAAACACATTCACACACTCATATACATACATACATATACACATATAAATATATATAAATAAATAGTAAATTTAAACACGGTCCAAGAGTTATAATTATTTAACAAGCAACACACATAAACAGCTACTATATACACACATACATACATACCATATGTGTGTATATGCATACATATATACATTAACATACTTTATATTGTAAAAAAAATCACATTAACACGTAAACAACACGAATATATACACAAATAGTGAAAAACATAGCAAAATAAATGAGAGAAGTGTAAACTTGGTAAACTTAAACATATGCGAAATACAAAAACATAAAACCTAAAAATAAATTACTAAAAATAAAAATAAAATAAATATGTTAGCTATGAATAATTCTTGAAAAATTAGAAATTCATTTAATAAATAAATAAATTATTAATTCCAAATGCAACGCAAATTATTCGCATTTTTATTTCAAATTTTAATTTTTATTGCAAGGGCGGACTTTTATTTCATTGCATTTTTTGTTTATAAAATTCTAATTGTTTGTGGCAGTAAAAAATATACCATATAAGACAAATAGCCATTATATCGATATATAATATGTTCATATTTAACATAATAAAATAAAATAGGTGAAAATAGCGTTTATAATCTGGATTTATCAAAAAAAAAACTGCATTTATTCCTGTTAGCCATTTTGTGCAAAATGTTTCGGCTCAACATTTAAAACTTCCGGTGATAACTTCAGTAGTTCAAAACAATCTAACTACACTAATTTTCAGTCATTTTGCGATTGTGATATTAGAGCCTGTCTGGCTAATTTTGGGTTGCTAAAACCGAAAGTAATAATAAAAATTTCCCCACACGTAGGATTCTTTACGTTGCAGTCAAGAGTTGTAGTGGCCAGACCACCACCATTTACTAATATGACATAACTGTACGTGATGGAAAATTTTTGAACTTAAATGCGTACTCCGAACACCTCAAATACCCCTACAGACCACTTAGCATATCAGTCGCAAATTTTTACTTCATATTTGTTGAGTAGTGTTATTTTTCATTAAGATGATATTCCGGTCTAGGCCATGAATTTCTGGTAATTTTTGAAGCGTCGTAAAAAATGTCAATTCATATTTTTACTATCCATTTTTCTATTAATTATTAACATTACAAAAATACATGAAAAAAATAAAAAAAGTTTAAAATTTCCAAATATTATTAGCTGATGAAGTCGAGGGTCTCAAAAAATTGGCACGTGACCATATCCATACCCTCCTAGCAAGTAGAAACCAAAAAAGCAAAATGAAATTAATAACCTAGAGTAATTTCTCAATGTCTGTAACTACGCAAAAGTTAAAAAAAGATTATTAACGAAATGACGACTGCCTGAAAAAATAATTATTTCTACCACTTTGCTTTTTTGACTGTTTAGAATTTTTTAAAAATGGCAAAAATATTAAAATTTTAGATATAGCTAATTCTACATATAGACAAGTCTATAAAAAAGACTCTCTAAAAATTTAAGGTAAATGGGTCCGGTAGAACCGTTTTGAAAAAGACCGTTTCGATAAAAACGCGATTAAAGTTTCAGTTCTGGCCAAACCAGTTCGGATGCCGGGTCACCAAACTAACTGTATCTCAGAAAATATTTTGAGTTTGGAAAAACTCTCTTATAGACATATTCTTAAATAAATTTTGAAACTTTGAAAATATAAATAAAAATGTTTATTTTTTCTAGAGTAGAATACCTCCTTAACTTTGTTTTTATTCATACCAATAACCATTTTTTGTAAAGCTTTTAATAATACGAATTTTTGAATCGAAAAAAATACCACTGAGGTAGATTTTTGGGAAATGTTATACTCGACCCTGAAGTAATGCAAACGCGTTTCCAGGGTGGGCGACGGTTCCCTATAGGGGGGGTGACCTGCAAGCGGCACATACCGCTGCTGCGACGACAGTGGTGATGATGCGGAAAGCATTTTCCACCCCTCACCCGCAAAAAAAAAATGCTCGACAAAAATTCTCTATGTAAAAATGTTTCTACTTATGGGTTTGAAGGTGTTGGTATTTTTAATGAAAACAGATTTTGACGAGTTATTTATATGGAAAACTTTAATTGCTCGCCAACTCCTTTTAAAATTAAGCTATACAATTTTTCCTGCATGGACATTTTTTTCTATGTATATACCATATATACAAAGGTTCAATTTAACATATGAATTCGATAGGTTAGTTTTTTTTTGTTGCCCTAATATGTTAGTTGAATATATTCCTTTTGTTTGACTTTCCTCTGAATAATATAGTTTACCGCAATATGCCTATGTCTCACCACGCCTTTTCTTTTATTTTTCACCACAATATACATATTTTACATCAGATAAGATGTGGAATGGTAACATATGTATTTTTTAAATATCTATACTATACCTCAAAAAAAACTTTTTTCTTGATTTTGAACCAATTTAGGTAAGAATGTAATTTCTATGTTTTTCGCAGTTTGTCTCTAAAATCGAAGCTTTTTAGAAATAAGAAAAAACGTTAACTTCGGTTGCACCGAAGCTATAATACCCTTCACAAATACAAAATATTCCTTACAAGAACTTGACAATACCGTTTGGGTGTTACAAACATCGTGGCTAAGGGTATAATAACTTTTTTACTTTTGTTTAAATCTCTTGAAAAGATTGCTTTGGCCCAATACCCAGCCGAATGTTGTACAGTGTTAATGAAAAGTTATTAATCGCAGCTTAATCGCTTCAATTCCATTATATTGTAGTTAAGATTTTAAATTTACAAAATTATTTTCTGTCATATTATATTGCATTTGCTGCGGTTGTTATTTGAGTAAAGTGGAATCGAACCTACAATACAGTATTAAAAGTATTACTCATTTTATCTTGAAGGAGGAAAGAAATTCTGAATGATGGCTTTACTTCCTCCTACATAGAAGATCAGAGCGATTATCTTTTATAGAATTTACAGCCATAGTAAATAAAATAATACTACATTTTTCTAGAGTAAACGCTAGAATCAGACTTCTAAAATAGGTTCCAATAGTTTTAGCAATATACTTAGAAATAAATTCGCTAAAAAACAATTCACCTTGGTTAATTGCGAGGCATTCTCTCGAGAAGACTCTCAATATTTATATACTTGTATCACCTCAATAAATTTCAGCTGCTGTTTATATGCTATATTAATACTCAATATATAGGATCTTTTTCGAAACGCAAATTTACTGGGTATTGAAATATCGTGTGCTAGTAAGCGTAAAAAAAGCTCACATGTAATTTGTGTTAATCTTCAAATTATTATTTATGCCGAAACATAAATCTTCAGCTATCTGCATAATTGCCACTGAATAACAGTTATTTACCAATACAATGATATAAATAACATTACTACTTTATGCATAATTCGGCATCGTTTATATTATAGTATTAAATATCTGAAAATTGACAGCTTTTATTTAAATTTCTAATTTTATTTGCCAACACTGTCTTATCTTTTCACTTCGCGTCGTGGCGACCGTGTTGCATTTGCTGTGGTTGGCGGCGTTGGCGATGGCCACTGCGGTAGCCATACTGTCGCCGTTAATGTGGCCGCAATTTGCTGCTGTTTTGGTACATCTCAGATTTCATTCGGTGCATGCGATTGGAAAATTGCGTGGCTAGCCAACACGAAACTATTTATGCACCAGTATTGTACCCATGCACAGTTACACAAGCATACACATACAGTTCTCAAAAAATATGCCGACTATACTGGTACTGCCGATTTCCAGCGAGTTTTCTTCGATTTCCACTACACCAACAGTGGTTTGTGCACCAGCGATTTTGTAGATAGACACGCCAGTGCCAAACGAAAACTGTATGATTTATAACTTTTTAATTAACCTCCCAATTTGTTACGTGTTTATGCCTAAACTGTTATTGCTTATGTGGTTGTTGTTGTTGTATTGGTTGGTGTCGGTTTTGCAGTTTACAATGTGAAATTTATGTATTAGGGCTGTTCTTATTAGTGTGATTAAGCATCAATACAAAAATATTTATAACGTTGCTAATTATTGGTAATATTTCTATAATTTTAATTTTCAATCCGACCAACAAATGTTTCGATCATCATGAAATGAATGCCGGTTCTGTATATAATTCTACATACAATGACTGAATCGAGTTTTATGATCCAATAAAAAATTGAATTTTGACACTTTACAAACGAACAAAATTTGGGATAAAATTCAAAATTTTTAAAAACGTCGCCAATTTTTCAATTTGATTTGATCAAAATGATTTTTCTTTTATTGTAGGTTATTGTACGGAGAATATCTTCCAACTAGTTTAATAAGAATTTAATATTAGTTTGAGGTTTCATGCACGGAGAAAGCCGGAATCACTGCCACCGTGAAGTACCTTATTTTTAGCGCCGTCAGAGACCTCGCATAAGTCAAAACAATAAAATTGTTTTTCAAAAATTTTACTGTGAATTACTGAAACATGTATAAATATACAATAACATTTTCAAAACAATCGATAGAGCAGTTTTTTTTTAATCCCAAAAATCGACGTTTTTTAAGGGTGTAGCACTAGGTGTGCCACTTAAATACCACACATTTCACGTTTTAAGACTTAAATAATTTATTTATTGAGTCTAAAAAAATTGCAAAGAATTAAAATTTTTTTAACAACTATTATATTTTCATGTTTTATATTTTTCATGTGCCACCCTACTAGGGACATTCGATTGTTGTGCTGCGCAGCGTTGCCGGCAAAACGAATCGCACTTGATTTATTGAAATGAAATCGATTGTAGCGATTAGATGAGCGCAGATACAAAACTATTTAAGTACGAAACGATTTTTACAGCTATATGTATACCCATATAGACATATGTATGCACATATGTACATCTACATATACATACATATGTATATAACAAAAAGTAAGCTTTGATTGCGTTTATGTGCGTGTGTGTTGATATGAGTTCGTGCTATTTGTGTTTTTTTTTTTTTGTTTTGTTAAGCTGACCTATGATTGCACTGGGACGCACAATTATCCGAAATGAACTATGGTAAATGCAAAGAAAATTTTGTTCGATTCGCTTATCTAGTGCAATTAATATTTATAGTTGGCACGTTGGGTGCACGCCAGCGCAGTGCTAGGTTTCAACTACTATTTATGTAGATATATAATGGCTCAATAGAATGTCAATGTTAGTTTAGTAAATAATGTTGAAACTTAAACAAAAATTATAATGTATGTATATAACTAAAAGAGTATGCATTTTTTAGCTAGTAGTAACAAACTTTTTTAATATTAGCCTTAAGTACCTATAAAATGTATGGAAAAATATATATTTATGGTGTCATTCCATACAAAAATGCAAAGATATTGCTTTTAGCTTATCTTATTGTGTTCCCACTAAGGTTCTTCTCCCGAATGGAGTTT